ACACTGATTAGCTAGATGTTTCTATTACCAGGATGTCAGGGGCATTCTTGGACATGATGCTTTTCATAAATGTATTATATCCCATCCTAGGAACACATTGCTTTTCTAAGCTAACTTGTAATTGCTGAAAATACTGACAGTTTTAGTGTTTCACTATCATAAATACTAGTACCATGAAGTATTTTGGCCATGTATCTTGGCTTCAGCTTTTGTTATTTTAGGATTAATTCTCTAGAACAAAATGTTATGAAAAATGACTTATGACATTTATAAGATTTTTATAGGGACTGGGGATTTAGCTCAGTGGAGCCACATCTGCCTTGCAAGTGCAAGATCCTGAGTTCAATGGCCAGTACCAAAAAAAACAAACAAACCAAAAACGCAGATTTTTATATCTATTGTTATATTGCCTTCCAGCTTCTGCTTGCCCTATTGTTATATTGCCTACAAGCTTCTGCTGCCCTGTGCAACATATGAAATGCCTATTTCCTCTATGTCCACTAACATTAAGTAGGGACGGAAAAATGATCTCTTTCCTTACCCATCACAAGGGTGATCACTGACATCCCTGTGACAGAAGACAGGTGAACCAGAGAGCAAAGCATGGCAAATTTACTAAATCTAATCTGTAGGTGGCATGGAGCTTTTAGAAACGAAGACTCAAAGACCTAAGGAAAAATATTTTTATGCTTAAGTTGCATGAAGAATGGCCAGGGATGTGGAAATGTGATTGGACCAAAGCCTGTTACATTATAAGATCTAATGGTAGCAGACTGAGGGAGGGATGTCTGTCTATTTAGATTCTGCCTAGACTCCGTGTATGGCCTCCACTCTTTTCAGGTTTTGATTGGGACCTCCTTTAGTAAGGATCTCCAAAGGATGAGGGGGAAAGTGACTTTTGTACTTTTTTTGGCTTGTATTTGGGAGAAAGTATTCCTGTTTCTATGACTCTCCTGGAGGAAGAGAGAGTTTGGTTTATATGACTGTCTCTCTGGGAGAAAGAAGGCCAGGAGGGCAGAAGAAATTCAGAGAGCTCTTCCTCAGGGGTCCTTCCAGGGTTCTTCTATTCAAAGAATTTGGCACAGTAAGGCACTATTTTGGGGGCCATTGTGTTCTGATCCAAAAGAAGTATAATCAGCCTTTATTCTTTGCCAGTCCAAGAGGTAGAGATAGACATCCCTTTATACTCAGAGATTTATGTTTGTTACCATCCATATTTCCTCCAGAATCCAAATCCAAATGTCTAAGCCTCAAATCTCAAACGTGTGGTTGCTTAGTGACCTAAGGTAGTCCTAAATCTCCTATCCCAGAGATGTTTACCCATCCAGGTGCACCTGGCCTCAGGTGTATTCCTTTCCTATTTTCCTCATTGAAATATTCTATTTTTCAATGTCATTTATCTTGAGGGGGTTTGGAAGGAAAGCAACCTGATAGAATTGATTCTCCCTAATTTGTTAATAATTAATATCACTCCAACCTGTATTTTTTAATGAGTCTTGTTAATAATCAAGGCTTGGAGAACTCTAGGGCTGTAATTTCAGGTCCATTAACACAATGAAGTGGAAAAGAATACCCCAGTAGAAAAGTAAGACTTTTAGAGAGGAACAGGCCATTTCACATGCCCTGGAATCAATTCCAGGTTCAGCTCCCTGTACTAGCTATGGCTTTTTCTAGCAGCTTCCCTTTCCCTAATAATATATTTAATGGAGACCTGTTCAATCCAGCAAAACAACAGCCTCTCTAGGGAATCTTGGAGCCTTCCATGGCCTGGGGCCACCACCAGAAATCTGACTTAGCCTCGTGTGGAGCTCAAGTAACTGTACTTTCAAAATGATCCGTGGTGATTCCTGCATGAAAAACTATTGTTTTAATAATCACCCACTTCCCCAAAGAGCTGAGGTTTTCACATGGGCTATGCCTATAGGGAATAGGGACCATGGAGGAAAAGCACTAATTAAAAGGAAAAACAGACCTTCCCCCCAAAAAGCAAAAAGCAAACCAAAACAAAACAGAAGCAAGAAAAGACCAAACTAAGAGAGCTCCGCGTAAGTAACTGAGATACAAAGGTGATATAGGGAGGAGGCAGGGCCAGAAGCAACACATCAGCTAATGCTGCTGCTCTTCTAATTTCACCGAGTAGCCCTCTTCTCTCAGGCCAGTTTCACCTGTAAATGCCCAGATGCCGGACTTCCAATAATGGAACACTTCTTGCACTTTTCTTTCTTACTGTGTCCTATGCCTAGCAGGCCACTTGTCCCTCAGGGACTATTTAGACCCTATATATTGAACTAATTACTCACTCCCAGCCCAGTCTATAGCTTACTTTCAAATCCAATCTTATGTTTTATGCAGATATATTCAAATAAGTATGCAAATGAAAGCAAAAAATGAAAGACATATAGTTGGCTATGCCCCCAAAATGCTTCCCAAAGAAGTCAGATATTCATCACTAAGAAACACCTGACAGAAGCTCTTCATCATTAACAGAGTCCTTATGGCCAGGACCCAAATCCTGGCCCCTCCCTCAGACAGCTGCCTCTGGGGGAAAATGAGGCCACGAGGCTGAGCAGCCTGTGGGTTCACCGTTCACCCCAAGCAGATGTTCAGGGCTGCAGCAGGTTGTAAGGTAACTGGCTGAAAATGCAGGCAGATTCCTACATCTGGGCTGCACTGAGCATATGGGGCACAGATGCCCCAGTGCAAATGCAGCTAGCCTGTGCCTGGTGATACATATCTCTCTGGGCAGCTTTTCCAGCCAACTGAGAGTTCAGGGCCACAAGCTCTGCATCTACCACTCTCAGCCTGAAGGCCTCTGGTCTGATTTTCAGTGCTTTCTTCCCACACAGCATCTCAGGTGTGGCTCCTATAGGCTGTACTGAAGCTGGCTTTGTTCACCTCCTGAAACAGCTCTCAGTCCACCTCTGACTCTCAATTTTTGCTGCTGTAACTTGAGTAAGACCCCACACCAGCTCTGCCTCCAGCCTTCACCACTTCGTGCTCCTGTCATCTGCTCAGCAGACAAACAGTTCTTGAATACGCACCTTCAATCTCGTCCTTCTCATGCTGCAGAGCCCCTCAGGCACTCTCATGCTCTACAACAGTGTTTTCAGTCCCTGGCTACACATTGGAATCACCCAAGTAGCTTTTGAAAACCAGTGAAGAGGCTCAGGGCCCTTCCCCAGAAATTCTGATGGAATTGGTTTGGTCAGAATGCTGCTCAGAATGCTCTCCAGAATCATGTGTAAAGGATTCTGTTCAAACCCCTCTGTGGCCTGACATGTGAGGCTCCTGGGTGGCTGGATTGTCTTCCCATCATCCTTGCTTGTCCTTCTGGTCCTGGTTTCTCTATACAGTCTCCTAGCTCTTGCTCTCTGAGTTACAGTCTAGCTCATGTTCAGAACTTCCCCTCGTGAGCAATCATTTCTGTGAAATATTCTTGGGATCCTCACAAGGACTTACACCTCTTTCATTTCTATCTGCATATTACTGTTCCACCCATAATCACAACTATTGTTATTAACAATTATATTATTATTATTATTATTATTATTGGCTTGCTTCTCTATCACACTAGCCTGAACTCAAAGGATGGTATTTTAATCCTTTTTACATGTGTCTCATCCACTTAACTATATGTTCCCCCAGGATGGTTTGTTATTCATACCCACACTCCTTTCCAGGGAACACACTTCCTGTTCTGTGCATCCAAGTTAGCTAACAGGAGTGCTTGCTTCTGTTTGACCCAAGGTGTTCTGCATTCCCTCCTATATAGTTCTTACCTCAGCTTTAAGTACAGTCAATGTCCCCCTCTATTAGGTGGGATAACCAAGACAATGAGAAGGAAGGCAGCTACAGAGATAGGAAGGCAGCTACAGACATAGCAAGGCACAATGAGTTTCTGCCCAAGGAAGACATGTGTGGCTCTCCTCTGTATTCTTACAGAGACATATTCATGTCCAGATCTGTTAAGAAAACTGCTTCCTTCCAGCAAGCACTTCACACCAACAACACAGAATTTTAGCAGATGATGCAGTTTTCAGAGGAAATAGTCAAAACCCTCATGACTAATTTCCAAGGTAGTTTCCACAGCCAGATAGGTCAGCAGGTATTATGCACTATGACAGAAGACATCTGGGACAAAGGGACAAGGAAGAAAAGAAAAGACATTTGAATATGTGAATGCCCCTAAGCCTTCGCAGTGCCCTAGCAGTTTCCCTCATGATCTTCCCTGATGCTCAGTAGGTATGGCAATATTTACAGGTGCTAAGTCAGAGTTTTGTGAAGATTGGTCACTTACGCCATGTCATGGAATTAGTTATGGAAAGACGTTGGACTGAGCCAGTCTGCGCTCTCACTGAAAAGAAGCCTTTGTCTGCCTGGCACATCTGAGGACTCCAGCTTCCTTCATCCACTTCAAAAAAGTTTACCAGTCCGAAATGTAGTTTTGAGGAGTTACTTTGCATGTATGAAGCCTAGGGTCACTAAAAACAAGTTATAAGTGGCTTGTATAAAAGACTGAGACAACTAAAATAGCCTATAACTCCACCATTCAAATGCTACTTCCATTCTGAGGTTTTCTTCTTTTTTTTTTTACCTTTGTCCTCTGTAAGTATACATCAACAGATGAGTATATGGCTTGTCTTTGGTTGAATATGCATATATATATATGTGTGTATATATATATATGTATATATACATATATATATATATATATCATTTTATATATTTTTGTATTTTTCACTCTTAATTTTAACCCAAACATACCAGAAATGGTCTAGTCACTTAAAAAAGACAGAGTGATGAAAAGGAGAATTGAATTCAATGGAAGGAAAAGGAGGAAAATGAGTCTCCTGAGTCAGCCAGGGGTTTGGGCTTGAGTGAAGAAGGACAAGGGTCTGATCTGAAAATGACACCAGCTGCAGAGGCTGGGAAATCAGCCCCACTCTCTCCAGACTGCCGATCCATCATCTCCATGCTTGCCCTTCCTGTTTCTTTTGCAGGCAGCAGCTTGAATGATGGCTTGTGGCACTTGGTTAGCATCAATGCCAGAAGGAGCCGCATCACTCTCACGCTGGATAATGAGGCAGCATCCCCAGCTCCGGACACTACCCGGGTACAGATTTATTCTGGAAGTGACTACTACTTTGGAGGTAAATTCTCCAGCCTTGGAAATTGAAAATAAAGTTGAGGGGGGTGGGCAGTGGGCAGTTATTTCACCAGGATGATTCCTGCTTTTTTAATTAGTTCTCCCAACACACATACAAACACACACTCAAGCCCAAAATAGTGAGAAGTAAAATCTCTCACAGCTGTGTAAATATAAATTATCTAGGCCAGTGCTGAGGGAGAAAAGTACTTCAGCTATAAGAGCTGGTGTTACATAACAAGTCCAAAGGAGGTTTTTGTAGCTATGCCAAGCTCTGTGATCACATTGGAAAGGAGAAACCCAGCTGAAAAGTGAGAGAAAGTGAATCAAGTGTCTACAGTTCCCACAAGAGGGAAAATTCAGATGAGGGAACAGCCAGGCTGCCCAGCCGTCTTGGTCAGTCCACTGCCACCTTCCATTCTGAGCCTGGGTCTCACTTTCCCACATCTCGGAGGCAACCCATGCCCCTGGAATGGGGCATCTGGCAAGGGGAGTGGGTAGGAGGCTCCATTTGGAGAAGGTGACTCAGATTAAGCCTGATTCTGATGTCCTTGAATCCTGGAAACATTTCAGTGACACAAATACAAAAGTAAACTGATGGGGATAAATTAAGCTTCTAATGCGTTTTTATATATACATATATATTTTTATTTAGTCCTTTGAATGTATTTTTATCATTAGAAAAATACTATCTGATTTCTCAGTCAGTTTTTTATATTACAGAAACCGTCTCTGAAGGGGAGTTAACCCCAGTGGCTGGCTAACCCTGCTGTGTAGTACCTGGAATCCCTCATCTAGAACAAGAGAGAATAAGCTCAATTTCAGGGCTGCTGGCAGAGTTCAGTGAGAGCAGGATTAACATGTCCATGATGAGGGCTGGAGGTGTCACTCAGTGGTGATGCACTTAACAAGCATGTGCAAGGCTGTTGGTTCAATTTCCAGAACCCCCCATACACACACACACACACACACACACACACATGCAAGCACATGCACATGCATGCACACACACACACAGAATGACATCTGCTATATCAGGGAATGGACAAATTGGTCTCAAGTATTGCAGGGATGGGCTGGGGTCTGGGCTATAGTTAGTTCTATTTCTACTAGGAAATTGGACAGACATATTATATATGGTTATGCACTGCAGCCCCCCCCCTCCCTCTCTCTCTCTCTTCTCTCTCTCTCTGTCTCAATTGAACACAGTGCCTCCCACATAGTAAACATGGGCTGTTTACCTTTGAAGTCTTTTACTTCCAAACTCTAGGATATGCCACTCATTTCTTTACTATCAAGAAAATGTGGTTAAAGCTGTAAATGAAAAAGGGACCTTGCATAGGTGCAAGATGCATGCTCATGTCTTCTGGGAAGAAGCCAGTGTGGAGTGAACACTTGAGGTTGTTTTTGGGAGGAGGATGAGTCTCTGTCCTTCACCTCAGACATGCCACATTCCTTTAGAATGAGAATGCATTTAATCTGGCCCCTGTAAGTGTTTTATGTGACTTACCTTACTTGGTTCATGCTCAAGCTTTGTGAGGTAGGTAATAATAATATCCCTATTTAATAGATAAAAAGACAGATGTTTGCTGATGTAAAATAATCTGTACAAAGACATAGCAGGAGCAATTAGTAGAGCATGGATTCAAATCCAGATCTGTGTTCTCCATGATCCACTAGTGAAAATAAAGTCATAAGGAGCATCTTGGGGGTCCCCAAAGGTGCACCTCACAGACAGTATAATTATGCATCTTGTGTACTATTTTAGCAACAGAGAAAGAAAAGTGATCTTGAATTTATTTCTGGCTAAAATGCTTTTGAATAATTACAGTATACTAAACATCTGACATACCACAAAGGCAAAATGACACCTTCATTTGAAGAAGAGCCATCAGAGAAGGTTTGGGGGGCCTAGCTTAGGAGGTAGATTTATCTGTGGTTTGAACAGTGTTTAAACAAACATCCCACATAGTCTATAAACTTAAGAAATATGAAAAATGAGTTTCAGTAATAATAGTCAACTTACATAAATTCTCTCTACAGCTCCAATTAGAAGTTGTAGCATCTCTCTTCATTTTATGGTGTGCCTCTGAGCTGTTAACCAGCTGCCGGGCTTCAGCCCAGCAGTGACTGTCTATTAGAGATGGCTGAAATAATTCCCAATTATTTATGGGTTATTGCCATATTTTCAAGCTTGCATTCCCATATGCTCAGAACCTATTAAAACCATTGAGATGGAGTTTATATAGAGCATAAGCACTCAAATACCTGCATTGCTCTATACCTGTGTTAATGAGAAGTAGCTATGCCCTGGCTGCAAGCTATGCTAAATCAGGGTAATGTATTTTAAAAAAAGAGCACTATTTAAAAAGGTATGGTGTTAACCTTTCATTTGTTCCATTATAGTTCTATAACTATGTACATTTAAACCCATAACCCTGAGAGCCTAGATTTGCTCTGCACATAACTTCAAAATTCCCATTATGTTCCTATGTGTACCTTTCTCAGGATCTAAATCTGTTAATGCTAACAATTAACCAGACAATTATTCTGCTGCCATTCTTACACCAAGCATAAGTTCCTTTGAAGGTGAAATTTAGAGTCAAGTTGTACATTTAGATGTGTATTTCAAGACAGAGCCGAGATTCCCAAGCGGTTAAGACACGTTGCTTCCTTGAGATGAGTGAAGGATGCCATGTGAAAAATGGCAGATAGCTTAGCAGTAGGAAGACAATAGATCAAGGTAAACGGAATGGTATTGCCATTTCCTTTAGCACACATTTTAGTTTTCTATTAAGTGATTGAGTATTCTGGTTCTGTACTATTTCTGTCCCCTCCCTGGAAATGGTAGGATTTACAACAAAAGTGAGTGCACTACTATGAATGAGAAAGCACCAGAATAATTAGACCTCAAGGTCTTCAGTCAATAGGTCACCAAAGCAATAACTGATCATTACAACATTCTTCTTCATCTTTTTTCTCTGTCCCACAGGGTGCCCTGACAATCTCACCGATTCCCAATGTTTAAATCCCATTAAGGCTTTCCAAGGCTGCATGAGGCTCATCTTTATTGATAACCAGCCCAAGGATCTCATTTCAGTTCAGCAAGGTTCCCTGGGGAATTTTAGTGATTTACACATTGATCTGTGTAGCATCAAAGACAGGTAATTATTGTCTCTTCTCCTCTGTTTTCCTACCCCCTTCCCATTCTCACTGTTCTAAATATGAGTTTCTTTAAGCAAAATTCTAATCCACCAACATTAGCCACATTAGACATAATTGAGTCACCTAATGGAAAATATTTCTGAAAGGATTTCAGGCCCACAGAAAAATGGTTTAAATTAGTTGAGTCTCTCTTCATGTTGACTTGCAGTAAATGGAATATGCAAATTAAATCAAAATACAAATTTGTGAAAGGATTAAAATTTTATGCATAAACAACATTTGATTACTTTGAAGTTAAGAGTGAAGCAAAAAGGAAGGAGAGATTGCTTCTCTTCTCTCCTCAACCATTTCATTTTTCACTACAGTGGGTATCTTTCTACCACAAGCATGCAAGCACCAGCCCCACTGGAAACCCTACAGCCAAGGGTTTGCGGTCCCCAGATGCACTGTGCAGAGCACCATTCAAGGGTGGCTGATCTTTGCTGTTGCATGATTTATTAGGCCTTGAGATAAAACTCTGGCTATCAAGAATCTGCTCTTTTGTTTTGCAACCCACAGATCTAGCCACAGCTCATTTTTTCTCTCCATTTCTCCTGGGATCTGATCCCTCTTATTAACGGAAGTTTCTAGATTTAAATTCACACTGCAGAAAACCAAAGAATAGATTCTGAATTTCCAGCAAGGTTTGCTATGTTTCTTCTCTAGCACTGACCTCCTTTGTTCTAATTCTGCTCACCTCAGTCAAGTATCATTGATGAAATGGGTGAACACTATCTGCTAAGTGCTTACCTGTGTGTTGGTGGTAGAGTTTCCTGCTCATATTTCATCAGGAAATTAATCTACCATTAAAATAAAGTGAGATAAATGTCCAAGAAAAAAATCTGTTTTTGTGGGCAAAGTATCCTGGCCCTGGGAATGACCTCAAGGAGAGTTAGGGATGTGATACCGAGTTAATCTTAATGGAGGTGACAAAGCAGGGCTTGGTCAGGACGGCAGTTGGTGGGATCTCGCAGAACATAGCATTGTGTAAAGACATGGAAATAGGAGAGAGCATGGCATGTAAGTATATATTTTGACAATTCAGTATACTATATTTTCCATTTAAAATCTCTGCTATTGGGATGGATTTATAACCAATGATGTGTAATAGTTTAATTGGGAACATTTATTTTTTTTCAGCAGTACGAAATTAGATGTCTTACTATATTCATGGTCTTCAATTCAGTCAATATAGCTCACTATGATGGTAAGAGAGTGTGGGTGGAGGACTTGACTTAAACATATCAAGACTAATCTGGAAGAACCATGCCTACTAGTGAAATGTGGCTTCATGTTTTAGGTGAGAATTGGAAGCAAGGTAGTCAGATTTGTCTAGTAGAAGGAACAAGGAAGGTACCTGGATAGAGAGTGATTGCAAAAGTATGAAAAGTAGTGAGTGCCTCTGCTGAATGGCATACAAATCATCTGTGCAGCAAACCGTGGTCCCTGCTGATGCTGTGAATGGCTGATAGTATTTGCTGGAACTTTACACATGTTTCTTTATTAATATCACTACACATGGGGTGATCAACAAACCACACAACTTCCTGGCTCTTATGCTTCATTTTGTTTTTCTGTTTGACCAGCTGGAAAAGTGGATAATAAAATGTTTGCTTCATGAAAATGTGCTAGTTTAGAGGTCTCAGAATAAAAGGTACTACCAGTGGCCACCCCTACAGTCTTTAGTAATGATGAGGGGCACACAGCCCCATCTGCCAGCACAGCCTTCTGCGAGGCCTGGATCGATGCAGGGCACATTTACCAGTGGGGTCTCTTTGATACCTTAATTTCCAATCAGGGAAGCTTTCATTATTTTTGATTACACGGAAGTCATTGCCATCTACAATGCATCATTACTTTTGTGTAATTGTAGCCTTGTATAATTATGTTACATACAATTGTGTTTTAGTTAATTGTATAATAGAGGATTGTTTTTAGTTTAGTAGATAAATAGTATGTTTTTCTTGATTTACCAGACATTTTCTCTAACAGAAAGAAAAGCTGTGGCAAAAGACTTTGCATGACTCAATACTGATTGAATTTACATTTAATATTTGTTGAAGAGGAGCAAGGATTAGATGGGCCAGAAATTTCTGAGTTTTGAGTTTTGTTTTTAATGTCTCAGTCAGTACAAGTCTCTGCCTTTAAGGTGCTAGGCCCTGGGTTGGTGAGACAAGAGAGGACCCAGTTGTGGCCTACCTTGCCCAGGCTCCTCTCTGGAAAATCTGTGGAGAACAGCCTGAGAGTTTCTCCTTCCTCCTATCCTCCTTCCCTGCTCTTCCTAGTAATGAGCAGAGAATGCCTTCCTTGCCTCTCTAGCCTTCTTCTCCTTCAAAGGAAACAGGATCCCACCTTCCAATTTCTTTTCTGCTGGACCCATTTACACATATATGTTGTCTTTGTGCTGGTTATTGTGTAGAAATCAGATACAGGAAATCCCAGGTAGTATTCATAGAAGAGCAAAGAATGTTCCAAAAACTTAAGAGCTTGCTCTGTCAAGGGCCTCAGGCAGGCTGCCTTTTCACTGGTAGCTGTTGACTGGTGGCTTCTTTCCAGTTTGAGCTGTTTAAAATGTGCCTTTGAGAAATACTTCTGGGAGATTAAAGGATTTTAACCAATTTCATGTCAATGCTGGGCAAATCACCAAATCTCAGGTCTCTGAAAGAAAAGAGGTGAGTGCTAGCCAGGCTGCAGCTCTAAAATAAGGGAAAGCATTGGCTTTTAGGCAGTTGTAGAGTAAGACATCCAAGGAAACTGTAGGATAAGAAGCAGTCGGGATCAAAGTGGACCTTTGTGTTCATATCCTTCCTGTAGTCCTTCTGGGGTATTGTGTGCCTCCACACCTCTCTTCTGCCAGCCAGACCACCAGTCTCATGACCCCTCTACCCCAGGCTCTTATTCTTTATGATCTACATATGCTCACTCCCTTGGACTTGAAGTAAGACACGATTCTCATCCATCATTGAGAAAAATCACCTTGAATAATTGTTTCTTTCGGTGAATGACTGATTAAAATACCCTCTGTGGTTCCGTCTTTTAGATAGGCACTCAATGAATAAGACAGATTTTGCATCTTCCTGAATATTATAGGATGGTCTAAGAACTGTAGAAGCCCTGTGGGTATAGAAGCACTAAGATCTTCCTTTTTAAGAAGAAGTAAACTGAGACCCAGAGAGGTATATCAAGTTTTGCAAGTTCACAGAAAGCTTAAGTTGCAGTCAAGAACATTGTTAGTGCTCTCCTCTATACTGTCTAATGGACACACTGACATGGAAATGTCACTGTGTATCTGTGACACTATGTAATCTGTCTTCTGCTGGACCACATACATTTTTTAAGAATTTGTAATATATCACATTATTTGTAAACTTTACCTACCCAAAGTATAATTCCATTTAAAAGAGGAGGGGATTCAAAGTAGTGTGTATCGGGTAGATCCCAAATGGGCCAGGTCTAGAGATTTTTCTTGCCAATGCCCTTACAGAAAAGGCAAAGTAAATACCTGAAGCCATCCACAGTCCTTCCTTGGGCTTAAAGTTATAGGACAGCATAGAAAGATACCACATTATGGCCAGAAATTTGAATTGGTGATGGAATGTGAGGTGTGATGTCAAACCAGGAGGACAAAGCAAGGATGTGATGTACAAGCTGTCTGAAATAGAGGGAATTAGAGGCATCTGGGAAGATTCCTAAATCCAGGTGCAAGTGGCTGGAGCTGTAAGAGGCAAGAAAAGGCATTGAAATCCCAGCCCATCATTAGCAGTTGAGATATGGCATGCATGTTATTTGATCTTTTGTCTATGACTCTTTTTTTTTAATACTAAGTTTATAAAGCCTACCTTTGGGTTAAGAGGTAAATGAGAGAGTCTGAGCAGGCATGTGCTCAGTTGCATTTCTGATATATAGTTGATACTCAGAAAATGTTCACTGTGTTAATTCTCAAGTCCAAATTTTGACAAACTCTTTGGCTTTCCTGAGGAATGAGAAGACTTAAGGCTCCTTCTAATATCCTGCAAGCCCCATCATGACCATCTGATTCCCAATGATTTTTGGGTGATCTCCATAGAAATATCTCTGTTCCATGATTTCATTTGGGATTCAATTCCTTGTAATTCGTAGGATCTGGCCCTCTAGGCCACCAACCACTGCCCTTTAGGGAAGCCGTCATCTATAGTGACTTTTGAGATTTTCCTAAGACAGTGGCTTCAAAGTCTGATCTAAGATAGATCTAAAAAGCATAATTTAAGGAGGCCCTCATTTCCAGGTTGATGCATATGTAGTCCCTACATTGACAAGAATGCAAGTATGAGGACCCCCTTTAATGTTGCAGGAAAATTTGAGTGTTTGCATCAGAAGCACAAAAAAGGCTTGTCAAAACACAAATTGCTGAAAGTAAGCCTGAAAATTTGCATTTCTAACAAAGTCCTTGTATGATGCTATTGATGCTTCAACCTAAGAACCACACTTCTAGAGCCCTCTTAAAGACTAATCCTGGACACTAGGAAGGTGATGTAAATGTGAAGAGGAATGGAACTTGGCCCTCTTACAACCCCAAGCAGCTCTCCTCAAGGTCAGAAGCTCAAGGGGTCTCAGAACGTTCCTTGAGACGTGATTCAGTATCCCTCTTTCCAAAGGGGCATTAAAATCAGCTCAAGGGGCCATGTGAGCATCTGGCATTGAATTCCTTTTCCCTCCAGCCTCTCTTTGTCTCTGTCACTTAGGTCATCACTGCTTTGTACCTCAAACAAAGCCTTTATGAATGTACTTGAGAACAGATCCTCAGATGCAGAAGTGATGGAGGATTTTGGATAGAGGGGACTGTGAGTTTAGAATAGCAGTGGCTGCCAACAAACATAATCTGTATTTTTATGAGGAGGACGGTTACCTTTCTGACCCCTGCTGAACATTACAGCTTGATCATTCCTTCTACAAAAAAAAATTCACAACCTATAGGTGATGA